TTGCCAGCGTTTATTGTGTCTCGAAGATTTTATTTTTCTCTTTTTCAAAGCTTTCCAGAGAGTGTAGCATTTCGATTTTGCCTTCTTTGATCTGAAAGTTGTCTGATGGTAGAATTTCTTCATTTCAATGGTTTAAGACTGGGGGTGTGTGTGTCACCCTATTATTCTTCATTTCTCGTTTTGCGGTATTTGATCCCAGAAGGCGACGACGTACAACGTGGTTCCGTTCTCCCGTGGGGGCACCTCTCTTTTTGAGTTAATTGCAAGTGGTTTCTGATCAATGGTATACTACTGGTTTGGTGGTTTTGTTACCTTAAACATATTGTAAATTAACTCGGGGTTTACATATCCTATCATCTGGGTTTGTTTTTAACAAAGTATCAATGTATAATGTAACAATGTATCAAATATCCTAATGGCTTGCTCTGTCTCCACCTTCCCCATAACTTTTTTTTTATCCCCCTTCTAGTAACTTGGGGAGTCGTGATAGTTATACATGCTGGGTTGCTAACTGAAAGGTTAGCAGTTCAAACCACCAGCCATCCTTCGGAGAAAGACAGGGCTTTCTAGTCATGGAAAGAGTGACAGTCGTGGAAACTCACAGGGGCACTTCCACTCCGTCCTATGGGGTCGCTGTCAGTTGGCACGAACCCGATGGCAGTGCGTTTGGCTTTGGGGTTTTGTGACATTGTCATCTTCCCCTTCCCTCACCTGTCGACCCTGCAGCTTTTTGCTTCCCTCTCTCTCCTTACGCCCTGTAACATCAACGTCTGTTTAAGTCTGTTTCTTTGGGGATGAAAACCTTTTCTTGATTTTTTTTTTTTTTAAGTAACCTTGGCCTCATATAATATTGGCCCTTTTGCGTTAGGACTAACACCACTCAGCAGAATGTTCTGCAGATCCAGTCACGTCAGGTCCTGGGGTGTTTCACAGCGTCTCCTGTTTCTTTAGCGAGGCGCAGCATTCCCTTGTGCGCGCACATGCCAGCGTTCACTGACCCATTCTTCCACCTAGGGCCCTGAGCTTATTTCCATCTTCTTGCTGTTGTGAATCGTGCGAAGGTGAAGGTGGGGGCCGCTGGTGGCTGCGTTCCTTATTTCTGTCAGGCATATAGGAAGTAGGGCCATTGCTGGGTGAGTTAGTTAATTGTGCCAACCTGGCCGATAATCACATGTGGGGCTAATTGAAAGGCGGAGGGATAAAGGGGTGGTGAACCTCGCCTTTCTAGCTCTCAGGTCTCTTGCTTTGTGATGGTCACACCAGGGTGCAGGTGCCTTAGCAGTTCCCTGCTTCAGCTTGCAAGACTGACTTCCTACAAGACATCCCCAAGGAGAAGCCACATGGACCTATCCCGATGCAGCCCTGGGTGCTGGAGCAGCCGCGTGGAGACCCCTGCTAGTGCTGAGATGCTTATTCGTTCACTGACTCAGCTTTCCTCCTGCAGTCGGCATCATTGCCTCTGTTTTGTGAGAGGGAGGACTTTGTGGACTGGTGTTGGGTTAATGGGTTAATGTTGGACTTGTGGGCTTGGGCAGCATAGGGTTGGGATCTTTTCGTGATGCACATTTTCTTTACATAAAACTCCCTCTTATACATGAGTTGCTGTGGATTTGTTTCTCCAAAGTACCCAGACTAATACACTGGGTCATGCAGTAGTTCTTGTCCTAATTGTCTGAGGAAGCGCCGCCCCGCTCTCCGCAGCATGTGACCTGTGTCACGGTGCCCCAGCAGTGTGTGAGGGTCCCAGCCTCTCCCCCACCCCCCTCCAGCATTTGTTCTTTTCGGTGTTTTTGAACTTTGCTGTCGGTTGGGGCGGGAGGGGGTGGGTAGGCAGTCTCTCATTGTTTTGATTCGCATCTTGGTACACTGCCTGTCCTGTCCTCTGCCTGTTTTTCAGTCAGGCTGTCCATCTTTTCTCCTTGAGCGGCCAGGAGGTATGGAGCATACTTCTCCTCCTGGGCCGCCTCCGTGAGTCAGCACTGGCGTGATGGCAGCTGTTTGTTTCCCAAGTCACGCTGTCATCACCACCAGGCCCTCTCCTGCCGTAAGATGAGTCCTGGATCAGACTTCCCTTTCACGACTCGGTCGCTGTCTTTCCCTACGAGATGAGCACGACGAACTTTCCCCTCTGCCCTCTGCCCTCTGGGCCATTGAGGTCTGCCCCTGCCACCCCCCAACTCTTAGCTTTGCTGACTGGGATTCCAATGTCCCGAGTGGTTCCCCTTCCGGCTCAAGCACGCTGACTCAGACGAACACTC